TCCATGGCACCAACGCCAGCCCGGTGGGATGGGCCTTGCTTGCGGCACCCGAAAGGCCAGGACTGGCATCGTGGCTGGTCTAGGAGTCTCCTGCTGGCTGTGGTGAGATGCCTGGCCCCAGGGGAGCAGGGAGCCGGTCTCTGGTGCAGGGGCTGAGCGTCACGGGGCTGCTTCCCCGGGCACAGGGAAGGAGTGCTCCTTCGAGCAGCTGGAGCACGTGCGGGAGATGCAGGAGAAGCTGGCGCGCCTGCACTTCAGCCTGGACGTCTGCGTGGAGGAGCTGTCCGAGGACCAGAAGAAGGCGGTGGCCGACAGGAACCTCGACCAGCTGCTGACCAACGTGAGTGAGTGGGCCTTGAACGCAGCCCTGATCCCCCTGCCTGGCGCCTGGGGCAGGGCTGGTCTCTGTGCTGCGCCTAGCACCGTGAAGCCTCGGTCCTGGCTGAGGCCTCGGGGCTGATTTAATGCTCACAGTGCTTCCTCCTGCTGTCTGGAGTTGGGCTAAGGCCTGTCCCCTTGATCTTTGCTGCTTGCATCAGGATGAGGGTGATTCTGTTTCCCCTTTTTTCCAGCTGGAAGAGCTCAGCAACTCCATGTATCCTGCTGCTGGACCAGGTGGGCTGACGGATCCCGCTGGGGGCAGCTCCGCAGGCAGGGAAGGGAAGAGGGAACCAGCTTTGCAACCCTCCTCCCCTCTGCTGCAACACCCCCCACAGCAGAGGTGCTAAGATGTGGGTCTTCCCTCTGCCCTGCGCCTCACTGGCACGCACCCTCCCAAGCCTTTGGTGAAGGTCAGTAGCACCTCTGCTGCTTCACGTGCTGGAGGCTGCCCCGGGGGCTGAGCCGGGGGCACAGTCTCTGGCAGATGTAGCAGCCCCGGGACTGCAGATCAGTTCTTGGCTTGTTCCTTAACATGCAACCCAGACAAAAGCTGCACCTGGCGGAGAACTCGGACCTGGAGGACGCTTCCACGGCCTAAGCGCTGAGGCCGCCGGCCCCACGCAGCAGGGAGCAGCGTTAGGGAGGGTCGTGGAGCCCAGGGAAAGGCCTGCACCAGCTGCACCCCCCCCTCGCATTGCCACCTGCGAACTGCCCAGAGCAGGAGGGGTTCAAAGGGACGTGCTCCCCGAAGAGGAGGGGTTAGGGGGTGGGCGGTGGAGGGGGGGGTTCGCTTTCAAGTAAGCGGCATCTGGCCCCAGCACTTCTAGAGTAGTGGAAAAGGTCAGATGCTGGAGCGGGAACTTCACCCCACAATCCAAGTAAGAAAAGTCTCTACAGGAAGGAAAGGAGGAGCCGGGACTGCAGGGCGCTCTTCCTCTCTCTCATCAGCTCCCTTGGGCCCTCGGGCAAGACGTGTCACCTCTGTGCCTCAGTTTCCCCCCCTTGAAAACGGGGCAAATGCATCTCCGCGACCCTTGTACAGAGCGGTGCAACCGCCTGGCCG